GTAAGTCACATGCAGGGAGGTGTGTCTAGGCTGCTAAATAAAGTGATTTAACTCCTTAATGGCAGAGAGTTGAGCAGTGAGACTGCAGTGGCATGATCTATACACCAAAACTGCTTTATTAAGCTAAAGTTGTTCTGGTGACTATAGTTTCCCTTTAACAGACCTTGGTCTTGAAGCTTATCCATACTCCCAGAATCTAGTAAAGCATTTACTTCTTTATCCTGTACTCTTAAAGTACACCCGGGATGGCCCTTCAGACAATCATTTTTGGTAACCAAATATACTGAGCGAGAAAAATGTTAGTAATCATCACCCATATCACCAATATTACATTCCATTGCAACAACATTCTCAGGACAGCCATTTGCTATATGTCCATAACATTATAATTAGGCATAATTATACTTTTCTAGCCTCACAAAACTCCTGCCGTAGTGTCTCTTGGGTTGTAAAAGCCCAACTCCCAAGACCCCTTATAATCTGAAAGAGTCTTACCCAATTTACTAGAACTCTGGATTTTTGGGATCGTAGGTGTCTCTTGGTTGGAGAGTTGCGGAAATTCTCCTGCTGCCCCATACCATTCCACCAAGGCAACTAGTTCATCAGCAGTTTTAGGATCACTCTGGCAGACCCAGCGCCATGAGGAGACAGGCAATCGCCTAAGGAACCAGCCCATCACAAGCTGTTTCATGATGTGGCTGGATGAGTTAACCTCTGGCTGTAACCATTTCCTGTCAAAATATATTAAGTCAGACATCTGCGACCATACATCTTTGTCTTGGTTGTAAGTTCAGGAGTGATATCTCTTGGCCAGAAATGCTGTCATGACACCTTGGCATGCCAAGATTTCTGCTTTCAGTATACTGTAGTCAAAGGGTTGTGCAGACTCCAAATCATTATATGCCTTCTGAATCTCTCCACTCAGGGTCAGTGCGAGAAAGGCTTACACATTCAGACTCAGGCCTGCCATCTCTCTCAGCTGTCTTTTTAAAAACAACACATTAAGCCTCTACATCATCTGTAGCCACCTTCTTATGTAAATAGTTACTCACTCTCTTAGAGCTATGTGGCACTTCCGCAGTGCACCTGACCAGCCTCACAGATGGCTCTTAGAGCTGGATGGCACAAGTGCATTTTGCTGCTCCTCTTTTTGTGCAAACAGCAGTTGCTGCAGGACTGTAATGTTTTCTTGCTGGGCGGCAGTAGCTTGTTGCTGTGCAGTCACAGCCTGCAGTAAAGCCTTAACAACATCCTGCAATTTTGAATTTAAGAATATTTTTTTCTTAGAAATGCAGTCTTACTCACTGATTGTGCCCTCCCTCCCTGAATCAGTGACAGGGAAATTTAGTAGCAGCCTTGTGTTGAGTGGAGATCTCGCCCTCCCTTTTCTCTAAATGCTCCATTCCAAGGACACATATTAACTTACAGAATTTCCTTTGTCGAGGCTGAATCAAAACAAACATTCTCCTTGGGGCAATAAGACCACATATTGCATTTTAATATTTTGGTAAAATATAGATACCATCAACAACAATGCCCTGTGCTCTGTCACAATGCATGTGGTATCAACAAAACGCCCTATTTCTCCTTTAAAAAATATATATCGTATGTATGTTTGCACTTAGATAGAAAGGGTAAAATTGTGGTATAATGAACACATGGCAAAACTACCAGAAAGCCCTGGTCACAAACACTTTGCATCTCAAAAGACTTTGGTTAAAACATCTTACCATCCAACATGTACTACTAATCAGTGACAATAACTTTGTTTGGAAGCACTTTTAGAACCAACAAGTCTCAACTGGGTTCATAAATACATAAATACATACCAGTTGTATTATACCATATTGTACTGATTATGGTGCTTGTATGCTAATAGTTCAGCCCCTTCAGCAAAATGCAGAGCTATCCTTAATGAATACCCATCCTAGAGCACTTAAAACCTCAGACTGGGCTGTTGGTTATATATTATACATGGATATATGATTACCATGTTTAGCAGTTATCACTACATTCAGAAAAAAAATAAAATGTGTTTTGACAGACAATGTTACATAGTTACATAGTTACGTAGCTGAAAAGAGACTTGCGTCCATCAAGTTCAGCCTTCCTCACATATGTTTTTTGCTGTTGATCCAAAAGAAGGCAAAAAACCTAGTCTGAAGCGCTTCCAATTTTGCCACAAACTAGGAAAAAATTCCTTCTTGACCCCAAAATAGCATTCAGATGTTTCCTTGAATCAAGCAGCTATTACTCCACTAATTAGAAATTATATCCCTGTATGTTATGTTTTTGCAAGTATTTATCCAATTGCAGTTTAAACATCTGTAATGACTCTGACAAAACCACCTCTTCAGGCAGAGAATTCCATATCCTTATTGCTCTTACTGTAAAAAAACCTTTTCTTTGCCTCAGATGAAATCTCCTTTCTTCCAGCCTAAATGTGTGACCTCATGTCCTATGTATAGCCCTGTTTATGAATAGATTTCCAGATAAAGGTTTGTACTGGCCCCGAATATATTTGTATAAAGTTATCATATCCCCTTTCAGGCGCTGTTTTTCCAAACTAAACAGATTTATTTTTTTTAACCTTTCTTCATAACTAAAATGCTCCATTCCTTTTATTAATTTTGTAGCTCGTCTTTGGACTTTTTTTAGTGCCATGATATCTTCCTTTAGAACAGGCGCCCAAAATTGCACAACATATTCAAGGTGTGGTCTTACCAGCAATTTATAAAGAGGCAAAATTATATTTACATGACAAAACCTACTGGCCTTAGCAACTGCAGATTGACATTGCATGTTGCTGCCTAACAATTCCCAAATTCTTCTCGTGTGTGGTTATCCCTAATTCACTACCATTTAGTGTGTAAGTTGCTTGTGCATTTTTAACCCCAAAGTGCATAACTTTGCATTTCTCTATGTTAAATTTAATCTGCCATTTGAGTGCCCAGTCCCCCAATCTATCCAAATCCCTCTGCAGCAAAGCAATATCCTGCTCACATTGTATTACTTTACAAAGTTTTGTGTCATCTGCAAACACTGATACATGGATTTCAATGCCTATTTCAAGATCATTTATAAATATTGTGACAAACTTACTTTCCTGTGTGTGTTTGTCCAGGATCTTTTGGCAACCGCACAGCCCTCTAGGGTAAGAAAACCAGGTCAAGACAAAGTCCAGTTTCAAAAAGGCCTCTGGCCTGTTTATTTTCTGTTGTTGTGAAGTAACAGGATACAATGAATCAGCAAATCTTCTTTCTCCACAAAACACCTTCTTTCTCCTCCAAAACACTTCCCTCATTTCACCCTGCTTTAACTGCAGTTATATAGCTGCTCACAGCCCCTACAGGTGAGGCTAATGACCTCGTTAGGCAGTGAGCCAGAACTCTATGGAAAACCTGGGCTGGACTCATGCACAACCACTCTGACAGTGGGTGGAGAATCGGCCCACCCTGCTCTTCCGAATACTCCACCCCAGGGACCCAAATAACAAGAGGAAAAAAAACTAAATTTAAACTTAACTTTCCCTGGGGCTGCATGTGCTTACCCACATGTCAGGATAGTGGCTGTGCAAAAGTCTGGGTGCCAGATATACACCCCTGACCACCATCCCCAACACTCTGTTACAATATGTTAAATAGAAGTGGTCCCAAAACAGAACCCTGAGGGACACCACTTACCACTTTTGTCCAGCCTGAAAATGTACCATTAATGACAACTCGTTTGTACCCTATCCTTAAGCCAATGTTCTACCCAAGAACAAGAATATTCATCTAGACCAATTTCTTTTAGTTTGAAGACTAACCTATTGCGAGGAACTGTATCAAATGCCTTGGCAAAATCCAAGTAGATCACACCCACTGCAACACCCTGATCTATACTTCTACTTACTTCTTCGTAGAATGCAATTAGGTTAGTTTGACATGACCTATGTTTCATAAAACCATGCTGATTATTGCTAATAACAAAGTTCTTTCCAATGAATTCCTGAATATTATCCATTAATAGTCCTTCAAATATTTTCCCAGTTACAGAAGTTAAGCTCACAGGTATAATTTCCAAGCAAGGATTTTGAACCCTTTTTAAATATAGGAACAACTTCTGCCTTCCTCCAATCCTCCGGTACAACACCTGAAACAAAAGAATCTTGAAAAATTAAATACAGAGGTTCACTTATTTCCCCACTTAGCTCCTTAAGTACTCGTGGGTGAATACCGTCAGGCCCCAGAGCTTTATTTACATTAATTTTCTTTAATAGCTGTAGCACCTTGTCTCGAGTTATCTAATCACAAGTTATTTGCAAGTTTTTTGCAGCAATCATTTGCATATCTCTTGCCATAGGATCCTCATTAATATATGCTGAAGAAAAATTGTTATTTAAAATTTCTGCTTTTTCCTGGTCTTCATTAGCCAATAACCCCAACTCTGTTTCCAGTGTACCTACACTTTCATTTTTTTGATCTTTTACAATTGATGTACTTGAAAAAAATTTGGGGGCTGGTTTTGCATTCTTTAGCTATCAATTTCTAATTTTCTAGTTTAGCCACTTTAATTGCCTTTTTTGCAAGCGTTATTGGCTTCCTTATATCTTAAATAGGATGCCTCTGATTTGTCTGACTTAAATGCTTTAAATGCCCTTTTCTTATTTTTAATCTCTTGTTTTACTTCTCTACTAAGCCACATTGGTTTTAATTTGTTTCTTTTTTATTTATTACCCAATGGTACATACTGAGAAATGTACCTTTCTAATATTTGTTTGAATAGTTTCCATTTATCTTCAGTGTATTTAACACTAAGGAGTTTATGCCAGTCGATAAGTTGTAGAGCTGCCCTAATCTTATTGTAATTGACTTTTTTTTAAATTGTATGTTTTAGTATACCCCACTTGCTTTTGTTTTTTTTTAGTTTATTTCAAAATTTACCATATGCTCCCCTACTTGAATGTTGGTTAAAAGATCAACATTGTTTGTTATAACGAGATCCTGACAAGCATCCTTTCTAGTTGGTGTTTGTACCAGTTGTGACATAAAGGTGTCATTTAACACATTTAAAAACCTGATTCCCCTTGCTAAAGTACTAGTCCCTCTATCCCAATTTATGTCTGGGTAATTAAAATCTCCAATAATTAACGTGTTACCTCGATTTGCAGCTTTCTCAATTTGCTCTAACAGCTGTTCTTCCTCAATAATATTTACATTAGGTGGTTTATAACATATCCCAACCAATAATTGATTTCCCTTTGTTTGCCCCAAGCAGATATCTACCCATAAAGCCTCCACATTTTCCTCGTCACACTCCACATGCCTAAGATTTGACTTTAACTCATGGTTGACATATAAACATACCCCACCACCCTTCTTGTTTTTCCTGTCCTTCCTAAATAACGTGTACCCATTTAAATTAACTGCCCAGTCATGTGTCTCATTCCACCATGTTTCTGTTATGCCTATTATATCATATTGTTTAGTGTATGCTATTGCCTCTAGTTCCCCCATTTTGTTATATAGGCTCCTTGCATTAGTAAGCATACATTTAATATTATCATGTGTCTTTTTTACTGTTTTTGAATTATCAATATTACATACCTCCTCTGTTCTGAGCTTTCCCCTCCCCCCATCTCCACCCCCTTTTTTCTGAGCTAAAGCCCATCTCCTTTCCATCTTATGTCCATTTTCTAGATTGCTTTGACCCTCCCCCCTACCACTAGTTTAAAATCTCCTCCAACCTTCTAGCCATCCTATCCCCCAGCACAGCATCTTTCATTTAGGTGCAATCCATCATGACTATACAGGTTGTACCCAAGCGCAAAATCGTCCCAGTGCTCTAAAAACCCAAAACCCTCTTTCCTGCACCAAGACTTTAGCCACGCATTGACCTCTCTAATCTCCCGCTGTCTTTCTGCTGTAGCGCGTGGCACAGGTAATATTTCTGAAAAAATTACCTTGGAGGTCCTTTTCTTTAGCTCACTTCCTAGTTCCCTGAACTCATTCTTTAGGACCTTCCATTTTCCTCTGACTTTGTCATTGGTACCAATATGGACCATGACAGCTGGGTCATCTCCAGCCCCTCCCAATAATCCCTCCACTCTGTCGGCAACATGCCGGACCCGAGCACCCAGGAGACAGCAAACTGTCCGGTTGAGTCGATCAGAGTGGCTGATTACCCTAACTACTCTCTTAATAATAGAGTCCCCTACCACCACAACCTGTCTAGACTTCCTTACCCTCTCAACCCCACCCTTACGAGAGGGGCTGTTAGAAGGAACAGCTTCCTGCAGTACAGCTACTCCTGAGCTGATGCTCCCAACATTTTCACTCAAACGGGCAAATCTGTTAGGCTGCATGAGATCAGGACTAGCTAAACCTTTTCTCTTCCCTCCCCCCTGCTTCCTCGTCTCACTGTCACCCAGCTACGTGCCTTTTCCCCATCTGTCTTATCTCCTCCCTCTCCACTACCTGTCCCCACTATCCCTCTCAAATTAAGTTACACAGATGACACACACATCCTATAATGTTTACTGCAGCAACATAAATGTACATGTACATCTCCTTTTTCCATTAATTTTTTCAATGTATTAAAATATGTATCTTTTTTTTGTCCCTTAATAGCTTGGACTGATTCCCAAAATTGATTCAATAAACAACCTATGCAGCATAGAAGAGTTAGAAGAATATAATTATTATAACTGCATTGAAATCGCTTCTGAAGTTGGTACAGAAATCCTTCCTGATGTGTGTGAGAGGCTTATTGTCAGCATGTCGGCTCGCATTCATAACGGAGCTGTTAGTAAGTATCATTTTGACCATTTTCTTACAATTAGTCCAGTAAGTGAGGTCAGTAGTTAGTGATCCAGGCACATCTCCAGCTGAAGTTGATATCTGAAGTTCCATTTCAGCTCCTCGTGGTTCTGAGAGCGACAAAATAGGTTGTAATGGGAGTAATCATGACATTTATCAGGAGAGAGCTGTCAAATTTTTACTTGGAGGTCAAATACGAACAAATGGCACTTCTGGAGTCACAAGGCGTAACGATATATATCCTTGTAATGTTCATGTAACCTGCATGACATAATTGAACTTGTACAGAGATCTAGAGAGATAAAAAGAAATGTTTTCTAAGACTCCACTATTACTAATGCCAACCGGAGTGTGATATAAATGTCATAGGCAAACTCACACTGATGTTACTTGTAAACGCATTCAAGAACACAATGAATACTCATCATTGTATGGAATTCTGGTGGCTCCAGATACTATTGGGAAATATCCCAGTATGCTAGTACAAACCTGGGCAAAAATAGAAATTGTAGGCCAGCAGCTCATTCACAAATTCCTACGGTGCTGGGCTTGAAAAGGCCTCTATTTTTTCTGCAAGACAGTGTTAAGAGATATCCCAACAAACCTTCCACTGCTTTTAATGCACAGAACAACGGTTTAAGCCATAGCTCACAAAGATTGCATGCTAGTGGCTTCCACTGCCCCTTTGCCAGCTCTCCCATGATATCCATTCCCCATGATTTACTTGAAAGCTATAAGTATCCTTCCAGGTGAATAATTTCACATTCTACTAATTGATACCACTATTTTTTTTTATTTTTTTTTTATAGCAATTACACAAACAACCAGGGCCGCCATCAGGGCATGACAACCGCAACGGTTGTCATGGGCCCGGCAGTCCTGGGTGGTCCGGACTGCTCAGGTCGTCCAGGCCCCACATTCAGTGGGCACATACCGGGTTGCAGCGGGCCCTGCGACCCAGTATGTACCCACAGGGCCAGCCTCTTCTCCTGGGGGGCCCAGGAGGCGGCCACGTCAGGGCCTCCCCAAGGCTGGCCCTGCTGACACCCGGCGGCCCGGCGTGCGAGGGAGCACTCTCTGTGTGCTTCCTCTTCAGCTCCCTCGCGCGCCGCGTACTGATGCCGGAGCCGGAAGATGACGTCATCTTCCGGCTCCGGCCTCAGTACAGTGCGCGAGGGAGCTGAAGAGGAAGCACACA